GCTCGACTGTCCTGATGTCTGTCTGGCTTTTCTCTCTCAGGTATCTCTGCCTTGCCAGCCTCTACTGCCCTGGGGCCTCTCACTGGCTCACCTGTCCTATCTGCTGCCACCAATGCCCTGAGCACCCCGGTGCCCGCTGCTGCTGGCGCCCCACAGTGACACCCTCACCCAGATTCACACTAAAAACACCCCCACCCCTCCCTGTCTTATCAATCTCCCACTTTCACCACCACCCAGTCAGGATGGGGGAGGGGTGTCTTAGCCGTTCTCTGCCAGCCGTCACCATATCCAACTTAACTCGGTGTGACTACGCTTCAGCAGCTGGAGGCAGCAGTTATCTTACAGAAAAGAGCTGTTTTCCCTCCTGTGAATGAGAGTGTTAACATGACATATGAAATGAATGTTGTTTATCTGGTATTTTTTTCATTTTGCCCCCCAAGTATGTTTTGGGTGGTGAGACTAAGCAATGGTCATTCCTCCCCCACTGTGTGTTTTAGTTTGGCGAGAGAAGGCACTGGTCAATAAGAATATCAGCAGAAGGTAAAAGGAGATGCTGGCTGTCAGGACCAAGAGGATATATATATATATATATAGTTTACTACTGAGCAGCGTCAAACACACGACCTAATGAGAACACTCATCTGACCTCCCCAGGAGAGTTGAGACACCCTCCAGATCAGTATTTTGGAAGATTTTGGTGCTGTTCTGTACCCCAGGTGTATGTAAACACAATGACACTTAACATAACACTTTCTCTGCCCGAGTAGCTTTGTCTTGCCTTTCTTACCAAACAAGATCACTCGACTTCTTTTGCTCTGTGACTCCCTGTCACGTCATCCTCCTTTGTTTTTTATTTTCTCTAATCCAAAACATTGTGGACTGCTGGATAAAAGTTCTCCACCATCAAGGTGTCTGTTCGACTCTGTTGTTGTGCGATCTTTTAAGAAGCCAGGTAAGGGTCATTCAGGTTCTCAAAGAAATGGTTTCTCTAAATGTGCTGCTTTCCAGTTCCTTGAAATACTTCAAGTGGCTTTTCTTGAATTACTTCAAGATCTAACCAAAGTTTACTCAAGTTGTTTGGAAGAAGAGGCTGACCAATTGCTCTTTTTTCCTTCCCCTCCAGTGGGAAGCTAGTAGGAGTTGCTCACAGAGTGGACAGTGTGATATGTGTAGTGAATGAAATGAAAACATAGGACATTGTCATTTGCTGGTAGGGCTGTCACAATACCAACAAAATGAAGTACAGTGATGTATATCTTCTTTTTTCTTTTTCTTTTTTTGGAACACCTTTGTGCTTTAAAGCCACATGCGAGGATTTGTATTTGTGTAATCACGACACAATCAGAGGAGGAACATTGTTGGCCCTCTGTGTTCCTCTGCTGAACTTTTTATGGAACTGAAGAATAAGATGAGGGGCTGTCATCAACTCTCTTCACGTGCCTCTCCACAAATGAAACTGACTTGAGACGCAAGTGCAACCAGAAATGAAAGCAAAATGGGATAGACTCCCATTTATTTGAAAAGGAGTGCTTAAATGAGGGAAACGCACCCCTTAAAGTCCAGAGTAAGTAAAGTAAATTAAGATTAATGTTGCATTGCGTAGGGCAGGTATAATCCTTTCACTGAGACAGCCCTACCTGCTGGTGACTGTTAGAGAAACGTTCACCTCTTATGTATAGTGAGTGACATGCTTTTTGAAGAGTCACGCAGTTTGTTGGCTTTCACCAACACGTTGAGGGAAGCAGAGGAGTATAATAGCATTTGAAAGATGGTTTCCCCTAATGTTTTAGTGCCAGAGTTTGAAAGTGCAAGTTTTAGTTTTAGACTGCTGTACATATGCCTTTTTTCCATTTCAAAACCTGAAAATGCAAATAAATCAAAACATGTATACATTGACCCGACAATGGAGCAGTTTAAATCCCTAC